ACTCTCCAAAGACGCCTTTGCTTTTCTTTCTGTCTTCTTCTTTTCCATTTGTCTCAGGTAAATGAATGCCTGTTTTAGTCTGTATGAAGTGTATGTGTTGTTGATGTGATTTTATACTTTTAAATGTTAGAATAAACTCTGAAAATGTATGACGTGGAGTGTTGACTGTCATCTCTGTGTGGTTTTGTTTCCACACATGGAATCATTGAATCCGGGAGCACAAGAGAATATAACGAGCCAGAAATTAATGATTTTATTCTCTACAGCTGCTAACGACAAGCTGCTAACGCTAACTGACCCGGAACCAGTCAACCTGATCTCTCTTTACTCAGGACATTCAGCTCTTAATATGGTATAAATTAAATCTACAGAAAACAGGTTCAATCATTAACTATCAATAATCACTAAGGATTCAGAAAATGCCCAGATTTAATTGACATAATAAATCTATAAAATAGATTCAACCTTTTTGGATGCAGTTACATCCACTGATATCAGAGATTAGAGCAGATCTACAGCATTGGTCATTATTACCCATAAATCTACATAGTCAGATATAATAAAGATGATCCTTTTACCAAGGATTATTTATTTCAGGCTTTTTGACAGGAACCTGCCAAACAATTCAATGATTGGGACAGAATAATCACTCATTTTATCTGAGCTAAACAAAAACAGAGTAAATTTCCAGACACTAAAACTTTTAAAAGTAAAGGATGGATGAGCTTTAAAATATTTAGAAGATTATTAGGGCATTAAGGTAATATTATATTAAATGTATATTATGGTGTGCTGTGGTGGCACAGGGGTTAAGCACAACCCATGTGTCCTTAGTCCTTACATGTGTCCATGTCCCTTATGCCTTAGTCCTCGACGTGGCTGTTGCAGGTTCAATTCCCGGCCTGGCAACGTTTGCCGCATGTCTTTCCCCATCTCTCATTACCAACTTTCCTGTCAATTAACTATCAAATAAAGGGCACTAGAGGCAATAAAACCTTTTTTTTTTTAAAGTATATTATTATATTATCATAGATCAACACAGATTAGACTGATAATCGGTTGGTTTGACCCAACATGTGAAGCTAAATGGAAAGACAGATTTGTCCTACTGTGAGATCAGTGTCTTATTAAAAGACATATAGATGCAGACCTGATAAAAGTACCATTGGACACATGGCAGAAAACATTAAAAGCAAGAAAAACTGAAAGTGTTCAGATTTTATGATGACTGATTATCATAGAGATTTCCTCCCTGTAAGTAAAGATCAGATTCACACAGTGGTGAGAAAATGTTATAACAAGTTACTGGAAGATTATAAATAACAATGTATTAAAAAGTTTAACAACTTCAAGAAAACTAATTTGAAAAAATTTGACTTTTTTTATTTTCTTCCTGCTGAGACACCATTACAATAAAAATATTAAGTTTTTGGAGGAGGAGGAGACGGATCTAATTAAAATCCTTTTAGAGTCATTTAATGGAAAATATCCCAAAAAATAATATCCAGACTATATTCATATTTACAAATAAAATTTAACACAACATACATTAAATTTAAAAGAATTCAAAAATAACAATAACTGATGATGTTTGGTTAAATATTTTCATTTCTGTGATTCTCAGCTCAAGTCCAGGAATTTTATTGGAAAAACCTGGTGAGTTTTTTGTTTCCTCAAATATTAGGGGTAAATTATGTAACGACCCTGAAAAGACAAAATGTTGGAGGAACTGTGGGAATGTGTCTGGTGAACATTTTATGTCTTTGGAATGTATTTCGATCGCCCCCTACTGGTCGAAGGTGATAAAGGAAATCAATATATGATGGACTTAAATTTAACCTGTGATTTTACTGAGGTCTACTTAGGTAGTTTACTGAAGAAGACTGATATCTAATATTAATATTACTAGCAGCACAAAGAAAAGCTATAACTCACAAGTGGCTAGATGTGGAACCACCATCATCTTTGAACTGGAAGGAAAAATTAAGGAAATTCATTCAGTGGAGAGACTGTCATTAAGACTTGATGATGATAAAAAATATATTGGAAGAAATGAAACATCCATATGAACCAAATGTATGATCAATGTAATTAACTCACATTGGGTTTTACTATTTGTTATTATTTAATTGTCTTTGTCCAACTGGATGCTCTCCAGTTTCTGTTAGTGTGAATCTGAATGTTTAATGTATTTATATTTCTAAAACTGCGGAAAAACAAAGAATAAAGTAAAAAACAAAATAGTCCAGAGGATGAAGGAAGTAGTTAAAGGCCAAAAACATCCAGAATCAACTTGAAGAAAGAAGAAGAAACAGGAGGACAATAGTGCTGAATCAGCATTCACACAATGAAAACATCTGGACTCACCGAGCCTTTCTGCAGTTCCTCACAGCCGGAACCAGTCTCCGTCGTCCCCAATCTGATGATGTGTTGTACTTCTCCAGGTCCAACTCATCCAGAACCTCTGACATCTGCAGCATGAAGGCCAGAGCTGAACAGTCAGACACTGAGAGTTTCTTCCCTGAATCCAGCAGCCATTGTATCTCCTGATAAAATGAGACGTCGTTCATCTCCACCAGACAGTAGAAGATGTTGATGCTTCTG